CCTGCTAGCAGCCAGCACCTGAACCAGCAACACAGCTAGTACCCCGTACCCCAGCACTCCCAACAGCACCCAGCACCACCATCACCCCAGCATCTCCTGCCAGCACCCCAACAGCACCACCAGTACCCCTGGTAGTACCCAGCTAGTACCCACCACTCCCGACAGCAACTCAGCACCTCCGCCAGTGCCCCAGTACCCCCGCCAGCACCCCAGCAGCCCCCACCAATACCCCTGCTATCACCCAGCATCCCAGAACCCCTACCAGCACCTCAGTACCTCCAACACCCCAACACCCCTGCCAACACCTTAGCATCCCCACTAGTACCCCTGATAACACCAGAGTACCCCTGCCGGCACCCCTGCTATCACCCAGCACCCCCACTAGCACCCCAGCACCCACTCAGCACCCTAACACCCCCGCCAGCATCCCAGCACCCCCCCGTTGGCATCCTGCTAGCACCCAGCAACCCAGCACCCCCACTAGTACCCCTGCACCTCCTGCCAGCTCCCTAACACACCCACCAGCACCCCCTGCCATTCCCCTGCTAGCACCCAGCAACCCAGCACCCCTGCCGGCATCCCAGCACCCCTTCATGCACCCAGCACCCCTGCCAGCACTCCTGCTAGTATCCAGCACCCCACTAGCACCCCAGCACACCCACCAGCACCCAAACACCCCCCACTGGCACCCCTTCTAACACCCAGAACCCCAGCACCCCACCAGCACCCCTGCTAGTACCCAGCACCCCAGTACCCCCACCAGCACCTCAGCACCTCCATCAGCACCCCAGCACGCCTGCCAATACCCCAGAACCCCCACTGGCACCCCTGCTATCACCCAGCACCCCAGCATCTCTGCCATCACTCCTGCTATCACCCAGGACCCCAGCACACTTGTTAGCACCCCAGCACTCCCCACCAGCACCCTGACAGCACCCAGCACCCCCACCAGCACCCCAAACTCCTGCTAGCACCCAGCACTCTGCCAGCTCTCCTGCTAGTACCCAGCACCCCAGCCCCCCGCCAGCACCTCAGCACTCCTGCTAGCACCCCTGCTGGCACCTAGCACCCTAGCACCCCTGCCAGCACCCCAGCAGCCCCCACCAATACCCTAGCATTCCCACTAGCTCCCCTACTAGCACCCCAGCACTCCCGCCGGCACCCTGCTATCATCCAGCACCCCAGCACTCCCGCCAGCACCCCAGCACTCCCCACCAGCACCCTAACACCCCGCACCCCAACACCCCCTCCAGCACCCTAGCACCCCTGCTGGCACCCCAGCACTCCCACCAGCACCCCTGCTATCACCCAGCACCCCCGCCACCAACCCTATCACCCAGCACTCCCGCCAGCACCCCAGCACCTCCACCAATACCCCTGCTAGTACCCAGTACCCCAGCACCCCCACTAGCACCCCAACACCCCCACCAGTACCCTAGCACCCCTGCTGGCAACCCAGAACCCCCTGCCAGCACCCCAGCACCCCCACCAGCACCCTAGCTAGCACCGCAGCACCTCTGCCAGCACCCCTGCTAGCACCCAGCACATCAGCATCCCTGCCAGCACCCCAGCACCCCCACCCACAACAAGCAGTCCAGCATCCCCACCAGCACCTCAGTGCCCCCGGCAGCACCCAGTAGTCCAGCACCCCTTCCCCCAGCATCCCATCCCCACTGGCCCAAGAAGGCTGACAGGGACCTGCCTTTCCAGAGTCGGGCCCGAACATTTTTTAAGGGACAAAGAAAAATGGAGGAAAGGTCAATGCCCAGAGGAAAGATAAGAAGTCTGGGGGGCAGGGAGCTCCGGGAGGGGCGGCGGGGACTCACCCAGGGTCACAGTCCATAAGGCTGGCAGGGAGGGGGCAGCAGAGGCGGTCAGAGAGGCCCCTCGGGGTTAATGCTGCAAAGAGCCTGCCTGGCAGGAGCAGAGTGGGACACAGGGAGGGTGCCGGCGAGGCCGGGCGGGCGAGGTGCCCTTTGCGGAGCCCCCACCAGGCTGTGTTGCAGGAGGACAGAGGGGCACAGACCCGGGGTGGCACCCTGGAGGGCCTGGGACTGGCTGGATGGAAATGCAGAGCCCCAGGCCACCTCAGATCCAGAACTACGTTCACGAGGTGCCCGTGATCTGCTCACATGGGCACAGGAAGCCCTGGGGAATCACTAGCAGGGGACAAGGAGCCAAGTGCATGGTTTGGGAGCAATGGGTGGAGGCAGCCTTTCCAGGCAGAGCTGGGGGACTGGCTGCAGGGCCATGGAGAAGGAGGGGTGCCTGTGGGCCTCTGGTCCCCCAGGGCAGGTGGGACACGCAGGTTCTCCCACCTATTCCTCCTCTGCAAAGCCAGGTCCTCACCTGCCCCATGTACCCTCTGCCGGCCCACACCCCCACATCCAACCCCCGGCGCTGTCCCGTTCTGGGCAGGGCCCACCTGGGGCCTGGGCACAGAGTCCCTACCCAGATCCAGAGTCCAAGTTCCCCGTGGGTCCCTGCTGGCTTGGGGTCGCCCCCACCCCAGCCCCCACAGGCCCCCCAGGCCTGGTACCTATGGGCTGTAAGTAGATGTGCTTGCGGGCCTGGCCCGGCCTCCGGGCCGGCAGGGAGGCATGGAAGGTCTGGAAGTCCTCAGGGGCCTCAGGGCGGCTGAGGAGCCAGTCGAAGGCGGAGCGGATGAGCAGGGAGCAGAAGAGCGTCCTCTGGGGGTTGTAGGCCTCGGCCAGGAAGAGCCTCTCGGCAGGGGTGAAGGTGGCCACGTAGCGCTGCTGCAAGGTGGGGTCAGTGGACACCAGCGCCTCCTTCAGGGCCCGAGGGCCGAAGCTGAACTCCTGGGCCGGCCTGCACTGCAGCATGGCGGGCCTGGCCTCTCCGGGCAGCCCCTGCTGTGGCCCATGGACACCCTCGGGGATGGCCACCAGCTCTTCCAGAACCTTCCTGCAGGCCGATGGAAACCGCCGAAAGCTCCCCTCCGACAGATGCTAGGCCAGGGTCCTGGGGCTCCCAGCTCTGCCCTGCGTGGGGTCTCCTTGAGACAGCAAAGGGCTGCGGCATGGACACGTCCAGGCCTGGCGGCACCCTGGGGAAAGGGGGACAGGCCCTGCTGAGCACACTGGGCCCGTTCTCTCCGGCAGGGGAGAGGACGTGGCCCTCCCACCCCGGGGTGGGGTGGGGGGGACAGAAGGACATATGTCCTCCTGCTCTAGCCCCCAGCCCCTGTCTCCATGGAGACCCAGCACCCACTCCCCCACCCCACCTGCCCTCAGACGCCGGGGGAAGGGCCTCCAAGAAGAAACCCAGCCGTTCCTGTCCCTCTGTGCACCCCATCATCTGGGGCCCCGCAGCACCTCCTTGTACCAACTGGAAGCGTTCTGGGCAGGTCCCCGCATGCCCGAGGATGGAAGCCTGCTCCCCGAGCCGCCCGGCCGGCTGGGAGCCCGCACAGCACCGGGCCCGGAGGCTTCCCCGCACACGCGAGGTGCAGGCACACGTGCCAACCATGGAAAGCTATAAATAGGGTGATGGGGCCAAGCCACAAAGAGCGCTTTAAGGGCTGGAACAGACGGGGCGGGGAGAGCAGACGCCAGGGAGGACAGATGGGCTGGGAGGAGGAGACAAAGTCCATTCACAGATCGGTGTTCTCCTTGTGAGTCTGAGTGCGGACGCAAACATCTGAGCTCATGGGAGACGAGGCCCCCTCCCTGCACAGGCTCCCTGAAATGCTACCACGTTCCCCGTGGACGACGGGCTCCCATCTCCATCCAGAGGCATGTGCCGTGGGCAGGGGGAGCCTCGCAGAGCAGGGGGAGCTGACGATGGAGGAAGCCAGAAGACGAACATGTAACAGAGCAGAGCACGGCGGGGTGGGGGGCGGGGATCAGAGCACAGAGGAGAACAGCGCTTGGCCCACTCTCCATTTAGAAAGTCAAGTCAGCGATGCAAAACCCCAAAACAGGAGCGGGCCTTGTTTTGGGTGGAAGAATGGAGAAATGAGTCCACACCCCCTTTGCTAACCCTGACTTAAAACATTCATCTGGAAAACACACACACAGGCACGTGTGTGTACAGACGTCTATGCAAACCCATGCCAATATACACAGGTATACACACAGCGTCCTCTGGAATTCCCAAGTTTTCTTGGAACATATATCCATACAGATACCCTGACCTGTTTTCCTGAGTTCCTGGGGGAGCCTGGGGCCGGCCAGGACGGAGCACCCTCAGAGGCGCGTCTTTCCTTCTGTGTGTGTGTTTTAGAACAGAGATCAGGCCTGATTCTGCACGCAAGCTTACATTCTTTCGATTTTGTATATGATGAGCATTTCCCCAAGTCCTTCGACATTCTATGAAAAAATGCCATTTTAGGGGGCGCCTGGCTGGCTCAGTCGGTTAAGTGTCCAACTGTTGATCTCAGGGTCAGGAGTCTGAGCCCCATGTTGGGCTCCACGCTCAGCATGAGACTACTTAAAAAAAAAAATGCTGTTTTTTCTTGACCACCCCTCCAAAATGCCGTGATGGACGTCTTGGTACACAGATCTGAGTTTCTGTCCTCAGGAGAGATTCCCAGAAGGCACCACGTGTCTATATGGCCCCACTGTTTTTCAGAACGGTCTTGCCAATGACCCTCAAGCTCGAAGGGGTCAGCAGCCAATACAACTTGCCACTGAGTCCCAGGTGGGGTGTCTCCGCTTGAACCCTGGGGGAGGTGGGACCGTTGCTACCCACGTTTCCAAGAGGGAGCAGACAATGTAGAGTAAGGTTCAAACGAATTGTTCCAAGAGCCACCCAGCTGGGAAGAGCCGGCGGAGGGGGGCAGGAATGCACCTGTAGTGGAGGCCTCATCACTCGGAGAGGCGGGCCCCCATCACCCAGAACCCCAGGAGCCCCCATCACCTGGAGCAGCAGGAGCCGCATTGCCCGGAGTGGCGGGGGTCCCATCACCCAGAGAGGTGGATCCCCATCACCCGGACCAGTGGGGACCCCACCTTCCCCACCAGACTCCAGCACAAAGCTGGCAATTTGCAACAAGGTATGCGGCTGCCTGGAGAAAGCATCAGCTGCCTGAACACAGACCAAACCACACGACCTGTGGAGGGGCCCTCGCAGGCAGGCTCTCCATGGAGCCAGAAGGACCCAAGAGAAGATCTGGCTTCCCGGAGGTGGCTGTGTGGGGAGGGGGGGGGCAGCACAGGGCGCACAGGGGCAGCTTCCCTCCTTCCTTTGTCCTTTCCATTGGACGGACAGTCCATGAGCACCTGCCCACCCATGGGGCTTGGCCAACTCCCCCTGGACCAAACAGGCACAGGTCCCTGGCCTTCGGGAACTTAAATTCCAGCAACGTAAGGCAGACAGTACAAGGTAGTAAAAGTGGATACCAGGTAGGGGGGGTGTTAAAAGAGGAAAAATGGCCCCAGGGAGAAAAGGCAGAGCTGGCCCGGGCCCCACTGAGAAGACGATGTCCCCAAAGCCTGGAAGTGGCCAGGGAGGGTCTGGGGCCTATGTCCCAAGTGAAGGAGCAGGTGCAAAGGCCCTGTGGGTAGCTTCAGGGGCAGCGAGGAAACCAGTGTGGTGGGAGGAGGGATGGAGAGACAGGCACGGATAAGGCTGTGCTGAGAGCTCTGGCCTCCCCCTGGGGGTGTGGGGGGTGCTCCGTGTGCGCGTCTTGCCCACCTCCCCCTCAGTGGGCCAGCACCATACTGTATGGACGCTGGACCCTCTGGCCAGCTTTCCGGGTGGGCTGTGAGCTCCTTGCCATCCAGGGCCCTGGGGGCCGGAGACAGAAGGGCACTCAGGAGACCCTGGGTGAGGGAGTCCTCTGACTTTCAACCCCATTGGCCTCAGTGTCCTCCTGGGCAGGAGGGAGAAGGCACCATCCCAGGAGGAGGACAGGGGACTGCCTTGAGCCCCTGACACCATGCACACTCATGGTTTATTTCTGGACATGGGTGCCCTGGCCCTGTTCCTACGCCTTGCCTCTCCCCACACCTTCCACTCACGAGCATCCTCGGGGCACCCAGCAAGACTGTGACGCTCTCCCGCCAGCTGTAACCACCCCCAAGTCATTCCCTTGCTGTCCCAGCCAGCTTGGGATCCTTCCGTCACTGAGAGCCGTCTACAAACTAGCTCTCCCGGTAGCCTGGCTTTCCTGGATGCTCGGGAGGGCCTGTGTCAAGGGCAGATGGAAGCAGCCCCAGTCGGCAACCTGCCCCCTGACAAGCCCACACCCTGAGCCCCCCAGGGCCTCCATCCTATAAACCCCAAGCTCGGTTTCCTCATGGGAACCCACAACTACCCAAAACGTAGCTACCAGTATTCACCCACCATATAAGCCAAGGAGACGGAGGCCAGAGAGGGGAAGCCACCTGCCCGGGGATGCACAGCTCCAAGGCTTTGGAGGAGGCTCTCCTGCCTCCCGCTACAGCGCCCCTCACTCTGGGCCTCATTTCCAGGTCCTCCTCCCACCCCTGCAGGGGCTATCGTGTCAGTGTGCTCGCCCACATCCCCCGCACCACACTCTGCTCTGGGGTCCATGGCCCCCGGACGCCCCCCAGCCCAGGCACAGCCCAGGGAAATCAAGAATGCCTCCCCTGTACGGAACATCCAACAGCCCTGCCACGTCTGTCCCCAGTGGGAATCGGACCCAAACTGTGAACCTCGGGCTCAGCTCCGCTGTCCCCACAGAACCCAGTCCCGTGGCACAGGAAGGGCCCAGAAGGCATGTCTGGGAGCCTCAGGCACAGACCCGGGTGCCAGAGTTTGGGGAGGCGTGGCCGGCAGTTCCAAAGGAGGCTGGCCAGGCCCCATGGGCAGCCCGTGATCCCTCCTGGGGCTTTGCCACACAGACAGACCCCAGGGACCCCCAGGAGCTCTGGCACACGTGGGCTACAGCCGCTGACAGCTACCCCCTCTGAACTTAGAACCGAGACACGTGTCAAACACAAGGACAAGTTCTGCCACCTCCAGCACACGCCCCCATATGTGGCATCACGTGGCCCCTGGAGAAGCCCGCCTACGTGTGAGGAAACAGCCCATTAGGCCTCAGCTTTGTTGCGAGAACAGTTTTGGCCTCGTGGATCCCGCGTTGGGTGTCCAGGATCTACTGAGAACCACGGTCTTCTCCCCGAACCTCCTTCCCTGAGACTCCTGCACACCCGCGGGCAACTGCACGGGGGGATGGGGCTGGCGCCAGCCCGCGGAACCCCACACGCCCTGTCCTGGAACCGGCCCCAGCCCCACCGGCCACCGGGGGCCCGAAGAGCCTGGGAGGAGCAGCCACGCTGGTCTCAGACACGCTCGCGCTGGCAGGTTACTGGGACCTGAGGCTCCAGCTCGGGCACAAGTCTGTTGGAGTCCCTCTGTCTTTCCGGGCCGGTCCCGGCTGTGCCACCGTCTGGCACGCTCCTCCGCGTACGAGTGAGGGTGGCAGGATGTGGGGTGAGGGACACACCTGACCTCCTCTTGCATCGTCCCACGGGAGCCTCTCTGACGTGTGATGTCTCAGGCACTGTGATGGTCCCCGGGCCTCAGATGGAGCCACAAGGCTGGACGGCAGCCAGCCCGTGTCTCTGAGCTGTGCCTCACGATGGAGCCCAAGCTCCTACATGCTGACTGCGTCCCCGAAGCAGGGGACGTTGAACTGTGGACACGGGGTGGGACATGTCCTCTCCTGAGGGCGGGGATGACTCTGCACGGCCCTTCCACACTGGGGCCTTGGCCACTCTGTTCAGCCGACCCCCCACCGACCTCTGGGGTGCCCAAGTCCCCTGTCCCAGCCTCTGCTTTGCTGGAAGGGCAGGCTGCCCAACCCCACAGCACTGCGCCCTTGTCCCCGTCTGACTGGACAGAGGCCCAAGCCTCTGGGCAAGAAACACTCTGATTCTTGTTATTCTGAATAGGCTGGGCACGACAGCCCAGCAGCTGCAGGGAGCCCTTCAGAGCCGGGGCCCAGCCCGCGGGCGTCTAGAGCAGCTCCACGCGAAAGGCGCGGTGA